TGCAAACATGGAGCATTTTGGGGGTTCTTCGCTAAAGGGCACCTTGGCAGTGCCCAGGAGGCAAACTGGCACCTCTTCATCTACTAGTCCACACTGCGTACTTGGTCTGTGTGGGGACTTGAACCAGAAAACCTTTCAGTTCCCAAGCCCCTACGGATTGAGCTACTGCCCCGCTCACTTAATGTAGCACCAGGTAAAATACCATGGTAACAAGAACCCCATCACCACATTGCTAGTTTATTAAGATTTGACTAGTTGGTTTGAAAACCAACTGAATACAACTCCTTTTTTTGGTTTTAAGGCTCACGGCTTTACTGTTTTAGTTCAGTCTCACCACTCTCATCAGCGTTGTTTCCAGCAGCAGCAGAAAGCTTTGATAAACCGAATGACACATTTTGCAACTAACTAGTGGACATAGCGGAACATTTAGCAGCTGAAGAGACAGATCTTTCCCTTAGGAATAGGTTGAGACCAAAACAGAGATAAAGACAGGGAATATTGAACTTGTATTTGCCACGTAAAGCTTGTTTCTGCTGCCCCTGAGTAGCCAAAAAATAATTAATATAGGTTTAATCCTGCTATTTATCTGTCTCAAAAGTTTTGTATTAGTAATGTAAAATGGTAAAATCATAAATGGACTGCATGTAGCGCCTTTCTAGCTTACAGGACAGCGGCAATTTGCTTCTCATTCACCCATTGACACACACATTCATACGCCAACGCTGGCTGGGCTGCCATCGCGAGCAGGCTGTTCTCATATCAAACATGAAAAAAGTAATCCACTGTAATCCGTACACATCCTACGAAATTAATTTGTAGTAATCCACGTAAAAGTTAACCAGGAAGTATTAAGAGCATAGGAAAGAGATTGCGGTGGAAGGACCTGCCAAAAAGACCAGACATTCACCCAGGAGGCCGCTGTTTGTGGTCCGTGTAAAACCAGAGGTCAACATTGATTTATTTGTCACGTAACTGCCGTACTTTAGTAACGCCACTTCTGTAGTTATCCTAACCCAAACCACAACCTTTTCCTACACATAAGTAGATTTGTTGACCCCTGTGAATACGGAAGTTGTATTTGAAAAGACCGTATGCATTTAATCTCTATGATAGATTCTGCATTCACATCTATGTACAATCTGTATGCAACAGGACCATGTCAAGCGTTCTAGTTTACGTTTGTAGTCCGCGTAGTAGTGACTAATCACGTTCAAAAAAGGCGGAACGCACTGTATGTATTGTAATGTAATTGTAATGTAATCCAGGAACCCACCGGCTATCGTCTGACGATGATTTCGATTTTTATTGGTTAAAAATTTGCTTGTAAACTGGCTGCTTGTGAAACAATCCGGTCGCACACTTTGTCTCTCAACTCCAGCTCTGATCTTGCGTCTTACGTTGCTAATCTGACTGTAAACAATGAAAAAAAACAGAAAAGGAAGTTTTGACCCGGATATCCGCTGGCTACACCGGATTCCAGGAAATATAACCGCTTGCCGCCAGAAAATGCACAAAAAATGGGGAATAGCTTTTCGTAGGATATCATACAAACCGTATGAGGATACAACGTCAGGAGCCACTTGGGGTTCAGGGTCTTGCTCAAGGACATGCGGAGGGATTGTACCGTCAACTTTGTGATTCAAGAACAAGCCGCTCCACCTCCTGAGCAACAGCAACACTATGTCGTAATTAAAGCCACGTTATACCCCCCTCCCAAGCGTAAGGTATTTCTTTATCAAAATGTTCATCCTACAGCCTGAAAAGTAGCACATCTTACTTGTTAATTTATGATGTAGCAGGTGTAGGAGGTATGAAGGTATGAGGTAATCCTTTCCTGTCTATAAATAATTTGAACGCACCTACCGAGATACAATCAGCCTGTTTTCACACTGGTCCCAGTAGAAAAGCACGGGTGTTACTGAATATCCAAAGTAAATGACACTGTGACAGTAAGCTAGCATGCACAACACTTGAAACTGAAGCAGCTAAATGGAAGTCAGCCCTCATTAATTTGATTTGTGTCAACATGTCTTCAGTGAAAAGGGGCTAAAAGCTGACAAAAGTTAATTTACTCAAAAAATTCTCAAATTAACACTTTTTCTGTTATATCACTGACATGCTGGCGACAAAAACATTTCACTGTTCTGTGATGCTTTCTAAGCCTTGCAGAGTTTTACTTTGACACTTTCCCATGCACAAATATGCTTTCCTGTTACAGTTCCAATGTTATATGATGCCTATATCCAACACATTCTCACTCCCAACCCGTCAATTAGCAACTCTCGGTCGTCGGCTCCAGCGTCAAGTTTCCACTTGTTACATGCACGGTGTCTTCTCATAATAAACTTCCGTCTGCACAGGAAGTGAGGTTTAGGTCAACAAAACCACTTAGTTTGGTTTAGGAAAAAGAGAACATTGACGTTAACTTGACTCACCTGCAGGTGAACGAAAGAGTCTAGCAACACACTTGAGTCACATAATTAGCAACACACAAAACGACGCAAGTGGGTTTACGTTGGAGTTAGTTGAAAGCGCGTTGCGTCGGTATAAGACGCCGAGGGGCACCGACCAAGTGTCTGTATTTGACGAGTTGGGAGCGAGACATTAAGCCTAGTGCATCTTCACACACTACAGTACATGTATCCCAATGACGCACTGGGTTACACCACAGGCAATCTCAAGACCAAGTCTATCTCTGCACTCACAATAGAACAAAGACGAACTCAGTGTCAAGACCATTTAGGGATCCTCTGTTCTGCCTGAGAGAAGCCTTCGATGCCAGTTGTTCATGGCCAACCACAGATGCAAACCAAACAGAATGACAACCTTTCTTTTTTTTCCTCCCCTCTGTTTTATTGCACGGAACAGAATCTCATTCAGCACTGGTTCAAAGGCAGCACAGCTGAATATGCTACCCTATTCCCATTTTTTTTTCACACTTCTGCCCGTAATTATCTGTCTTAGCACGTGACACTGAACTCATCACCAAACTGTTTTTTTCAGCCTGCCTTATTCTCCCCGGAGCTGAAAACTGTCATACGTAGTGCTGTTGTTAAAGTGCATGATGTCCAGGAAGGGAGTGGATAATGAAGCCCTGTGCAATTACTGCCCGTTTTTTTTTTGTATTATTATGATCATTAGTGAAAGGGCTTTATCTTTTTCACGATGGATCACGTGTCACTTTTTCCATCCTATTAATTCTAAATGATGCTGGGTGCAAGAGTGTATGCTTTATTCTCAGGAGAATATATATACAGTATTATGCACTTAAGCCTCCTCAAGGCGTGTTGGATAAAAGCCTTGAAACACATATGAGAGTGTGTCAGGAAGTAGGGAGGTGGGCAAGTGTGCATTTGGACAGGATGTGTACCATTATCGGTTGTCACGGGCAAATCATCACCACCATCAACACCAGCGCAAAATGAGCCTCCAATATAAAACAACATATAGTGTGGATAATCTCAATACACTGACTAGGGTGAACCACTGCTAAGGACAATATATTTTTTAAGAAAAGGTAATCTAATTCATCACTGGATTCTGGGGAAAAAACTGTGCCTTTTAAACTAAAGAAGAAAAAAAACAGAGCAATATGAGAACTAGACTCCAAAGCTTCATTTTTAAAGAATTTAAATATCAAAGATGCTTACAATGATAACAGCAATCTTCAAAATGTTACAAATCAGCATCATGAAAACAACATTTCTCGTTTGTGTTTGAATTATGCATATCTTAATTAGCCTACTATCACGATCAAATTCATTAAAAAAAACTTGAATATCCAAATGAGGTCCCTGTATCTTCTGACGGGGAATTGTATCTGACTGTAAATGTATGATTTCAAATCTCCGGCCAGCTATCCTGTCACAGACTATCCCTATGACGTGTGTTATCATATAAATATTTCCCCCCTCTCTTCATATCAACATCCAAGTATTCAGGCTGCGAACGGCCGGTGGACTCCGTATTGATGCGTGGCTGTTATGAGCTATTATATCAATACTGCCACTGCCCGTGAGTGTGTGGAATCGGCTCGGAGCTATTTTAAGGGTTCAGACTTGGACAGGCGACAGGGGAAATATATGGCGGCACAGTCGGCTGATTTACAAAGGGGAGGCGAGGCGATGTGCTCTGCAGCCCGGTCCGCTTCTTTTCTTTTCTTTTCTTTTTTTATCGCGTTGGGCAAACCCGTGGAGAGAAAACAAGTTTACAGCTCGGTGGCCTATAAAAAGGAAACGACTGCACTCGTATTTAAAGTGACACTTGATGAAACGATGCCAAGAATGCGTCGATTGAACTAGATTCATCATTTTCTCGGTGCGATTTATTCCCAGAAATGTGTGAGTGGGGGGGATTAAACTCAAACTGAGCTGCAAACATCAAGTTACACGGCGACTACATGAAGTGGCCGATTTGGACTTCACGTATCTGTGTCATATAACTAACAGTGTTGATATTATTCTTATGTGGCGCACGCGTCGCGTTCTTCTGGCGACGATTCTTCCCGAAGGCTCCTCTCCGCTCTGCTTCCCGTTAAAACGATCAGCCGCTGCTTTCACTTTGCCTCCTCGGATCGACATCATTGATCCCCCTTTCTTTTTCTTTTTCTCCCCTGCCAGGTGATTTATTTTTTCTGACATGTTCGGCGGTGAATGCCTCGCTGTCATATGCTCCCAGGCAAACTCTATGCAAGGCTAAATGCACATCAAGCAACCCCCCCTCACCCAAAAACCCCAACAACTCTGCATCCTCTCATCGCGGGGCTTTGCGGTGTTAAGAATCTGCAGCTATGCTCCACAGAACCATGGTTTGCTGGATGCAAACACACACACACACACACACACACACACACACACAGCCACAATAATGAGAGCGAGTCTCTTCTAAACTTTGATTCGGTCCTCTATAATGAAGCTGCGTGCTGGTCTACGGCTCGTGCATGCTGCACATCGGACACCCAGGTGAAGCACAAACTCCTTTCGAATGGAAGTGACTCTCACCGGAGCAGTTCCAGCCGGTTGGCGTCTGGCAGTCGCTGAGGGACGAGGGGAAGGCGCGCAGCTGCTCCACAGGTAAAGTGGCGAGGAACGAGACGAGGGTGATCCTGAGCCAGCCTCCCGCCGTCCCGCCCCGCTGGCGCAGCCGCTGGGGCTCCTCGAGCGGTGCCCGCGCCGCCGCCGCCGCCGCGGAGGGACCCATGTCTCACTGGCCCCGACAGCACGGGCGAGGTGGGGAAGAGACGCAGACTCGCACCGACAACTCCAATCCCGGCAGGTTCAGCGACGAGCCTAGAGACCGCGAGCGGACCATTTTCCGTGCGAGACCGCGCGCCCCATGTAGTAGTGCCCCGGTGGTAGTCTGACCAAAAAAATTGGGTTCCGCCCGATCCAGGGGAGGCTGCCGCAATAAGAGGAGGACCTGGTGGGTGGTGGAGGGGGGGAAGGAGGGTGTGCGGGGGGGGGGGTGCGGGTGAACTGCCGTGGGCTGGTGAGCAATGGAGCAGGGATAGTGTGAGGGATGGAGGTGGGTGGAAAAAGTTAGCCAGGCGGGCAAGACGACTTGCGAGAAGGGAAGGATGCTCGAGGATGAGGAGAAGGGGAAGAAAGATGAGAAAGAAAAGAAAAAGAGGGAGGGGGGTGATCCGAAAAAACTGTGAAATCGAGAGGATGGAGCCAGAGTATCCCACGGACAGCGGTGTGGAGACGACGATTGTTGTGTGATAGTATCCACGGGTGAAACGAGCAGCTCTCCTGCACGAGCGCAGCGGTCCTCCCGTTTACTTTGTAGGCTATGTGCGGTGCGTTCAGAGTCGCAGCGAGTTGGTGCCTCTCTCTCTCTCTCTGTCTGTCTCTCTCCCCTTATGTCCAGCTATCTCTCTCTCTCTCTCTCTCTCTCTCTCTCTCTCTCTCTCTCTCTCTCTCTC